GGGGGAGAGGGGAGAGGAAGAAGTACCAACAGTATAAGCAGGAGAAATTAGAAAAGAGACGGGAAATGAAGAACTGAGGAACATGAAAAGCCTGTTTGACGTATGACAAATTCAGAGCACAGCCAAGAAGCCTTGGCAGGAGAGAGGTGTGGCAGAGATTTCCTGGCAGGTGGTTGTGTGGCCTCAGACCTCAGAAACTGCAAGACGGCAAAAGCAAAAATAATAACTAAAGAGATGGGGAGAAAGCACTCAGGGTGGGGCTTAAGTGCCAGGTTGACCGTTTCCATAGGAAAGGTCATTTGATAAGCTCAGGGTCCAAATCTTCAAATACAGAAGCAGGAAGAAAATCTGTGGCAGCCAGAGTGCTGTAACGCTAGCCCTCAAAAGGATGAAGATGAAGATCACAAGTTCAAGACCAGCTTACGCTCCATAGTGAGAGTGGGGTGTGGAGGTGTGCAAAGCATAAAGGAAATTAAAACTGCAAAACCAGCATTAAGAAAAAGTGTCATCCCAGCACTTCAGACATGAGGCAGGAGAGCCAAGACCCTGTCCCAAAGCAAACCAAATCCAAATAAAAAACAACAGCAAAAACATCTGCCTTTTGCCCAAATATATATATTTTTAGACAGGACCTTACTACTTAACTCTGGCAGGTCTGGAACTCCATATATAGACCAGACTGGCCTTGAACTCACAGAGAACCCCGCCCCCCCCAATCTCTTTTTCTCTAGTTCTGGGACCAAAGATGTGCACCACCACATCAGACACACTGCTGCTAATCCATAGGGCAGTTTGGTTGTGTTTTTAAATTTTATTTTTTTTTTAATGTATGGCTATTCTACCTGTATATATGTCTATGAACTGCATGTGTGCCTGGCACCTGTGCAGGCCAAAGAGGCTGTCAGATCCCTTGGAACTGGAATTACTACTGAGAGTTGTGAGCTGCCATATGGGTTCCAGGAACCAAACCTGGGTCCCTGTGGGACTGGCCAATGCTCCTAACCAAAGATATGATAAGCCTAGGGCACCAGGTCTCTGGGAAATTAATTTTTCTTTAGTTTTGCTTAGCTTTGTATAGTGTTAGTAAAAGGTAGTTTAAGGCCAGTGGAGACAGAACCAAATTTCTATTCTTTTTGTCCTTTGACTTTTTTTTTTTTTTTTTTGGTTTTTCGAGACAGGGTTTCTCTGTGTAGCTTTGGAGCCTATCCTGGCACTTGCCCTGTAGACCAGGCTGGCCTTGAACTCACAGAGATCCGCCTGCCTCTGCCTCCTGAGTGCTGGGATTAGAGGTGTGCACCAACAATGCCCAGCCTTGACAAGTATTTTTAAACTTTATTTATTTACTTATTTATTGTTGTTGTTGTTGTTTGGTTTTTTTGAGAAAAAACCAAACTATGTAGTTCTCTCTGACCTGGAACTCACTATGAAGACCAGGCTGACTGTGAACTCACAACCATCCTCCTGCCTCTGCCTCCCATCCTATCTGCAGGCACTGTTTTCAGTTTAAATTTGTTTTGTTCTATCACACTGATACATTCCTGTGTTCTGATTCATACTTATTTTATTTTCCTAGACTAAAAGAACCACACACTATGTCTAAAAGTCACAAGTTTCTCGTCTGGCTTTCTGATACGTAAGTATTTTACTTATTACTGTGGCTATATGTAGATGGATTTTCCTGTCCTGTCCCATCCTGCAGCCATTCAGTCCCAAATAATCATGCAAAGGCTTATATTAATTATAAACTGTTTGGCCTATTGCCAAGGCTTATTAGTAACAAGCTCTTACAACTTAAATTAGCCCGTAATTCTTATCTCTTCACCCTTCATAAGAAAACCACGTGTCTGTGCGTTCACATAAATGGTTTACTCCAGGTTGTGTAGCTAGTTACTAGCAAGGTTGCAAAAACTAACCGTTCCTTTCTACTTCCTTGCTGTTTCCACAAACCCACAGTTCAGCATGCTGAAAAGAAGTGTGTGTGGCAATACAGGGTGGTAAAAGTGGATATTGTCACCTGGGTGTTGGTGGTGCACGCCTTTAATCCCAGCACTCAGGAGGCAGAGGCAGGCAGATTTCTGAGTTCGAGACCAGCATGGTCTACAAGAGCTAGTTCCAGGACAGCCTCCAAAGCCACAGAGAAACCCTGTCTCGAAAAACCAAAAAAAAAAAAAAAAAAAAAAAAGAAGAAGAATAGGATTGATCTGTAGGCACTGGAAGGATGGTTCAGTGGTTAAGAGTGCAGACTGCCTGAGCACAGGGTTTGGTTTCCAAAACCCATGTTAGGCTGCTTGCAATTGCCTGTAACTCCAGCTCCAAGGGACCTGATATCCTCTTCTGGCCTCCACATGCACCTGCTCTCATATGTGTACATATATCTATCTACGCAGACACCACACATATAGACATAATTTAAAATAAAAATTTTAGAAAAGACTATTTGTAATTTTTCAGTATAACTAGTTCCCATCTTGTTTAAGTGATTTGCAATCTAAAATTATTTTTCATAGATAAAGAAAATTACAATGAATAGACATACAAAAACATATGTAATAGAACTGTGATGGCACAGAACGTAAGTTGAATTCCCGGCCTTATTTAACTTGGAAAGTTGGGCACAGGAACAGGGGCTTCTAGCTTGTTCTTACTCTCATCCCAGTTCCAGCAGACAGTGAGGAGCCTCTACTGCACTGACGTGCTGCAAGGTGGATGGTCTTGTGCACATCCAGGGACAGTCCTAGAGCATGCTTAGGGTGGCCAGCAGTCAGAAGTTAGGAAAAGTCATCCAGACAGAAACACATAGATCTCTGCTGTTAGATAGGACAGCCTGGTCTACATAGGTAGTTTAGGCCAGCTAGGGCTAAATAGTGAAACTGTCCAAAAAAGAAAGGAAATTAATTTGTAACAGCCATTATTACGTGTGATGTTTGCTTGTATTGCTGAAGCATTGAGATTAAACTAGCAATTATTAAACTCTATGAACTGACAGAAAAAACAAAGGTTAATTCTAGTCCTGAGGACCAAGATGTGCCTGAATCTGCTCTGTTTTCTCCCCTCTAGCTTATTAATGCGGAAAGCTTTATTTGACCACCTCACTGCCCGGGGCATCCAAGTAAGTCTGGCATAACAGCACTCGCCCATTTGATTTAAACCAAAGTGCAGGGTTTTTAACTCTGTTTGAGCTCTGACTTTGATGCTACAACTGTGCTCTTCCTTGCCATTAGTAATAAATTATTAGCTACAGACTCATGTAAAGGAGGGCAACTGAAGTCAGAGTGGAGGGGTGGTGAATATCTAATGAGGAAATAGAATTTTTTTTTTTTTTAAAAAAAGAGCTTACGCCGGGCACATGCCTTTAATCCCAGCACTCGGGAGGCAGAGGCAGGGGGGTCTCTGTGAGTTCGAGGCCAGCCTGCTCTCCAGAGCGAGTGCCAGGATAGGCTCCAAAGCTACACAGAGAAACCCTGTCTCGAAAAACCAAAAATAAAATAAAATAAAATAAAAGAGCTTAATAATTTGTTAAAATGCAGCCTTCATAAGGTTCATTGTAAGTGTGCTGAGACCACAGTGGAGAAACATAAGGTCACTTCCTGTTTAACATCTCTTCTTATGCTTCCTGTACCTCAATTTCCAGGTCTACGTTTGGGTTTTAAATGAAGAGCATGAGTTCAAAAGAGCTTTTGATTTGGGAGCGACTGGAGTGATGACAGACTACCCAACAAAGCTTAAACATTTCTTAAATAATTTTCCAGCATAGAAAAGGGTCTCAGAATTACTCAAAGGAGACATGACATGAAAAGATTCCAGAAAAGGTGTGTCACCATTGTGTTCCTGAGATTTCCAGGATGATAAAAAGGTTTAATCAGTTAAGTTTTATTACCTCATTTTAAAGCCTGTATGGGAATGTAGAAACTTCTCTCTACTATATATTTATTTTCAACAATATTGCATATTTTACATTGGTAACTTGTTCTGACAGATAACTGGCTATGAGATGTAAGTAGATCATTGATCAAGATGGCTGTATGTCATGCAGTATTCTACTATTGTGAATCTAAAATCAAAGACTAGAGACTGAATTGGGCATTAGCCTTCACTGAAAACATGATCAACTATGGTAAAAGATTATTGAGTTGGGCATGGTGATGCGAGCCTGTAATCCCAGCATTTGGGAGGCTGAGGTAAGAGGGTCATGTGTTCAAGGTCAGTCTGAGCTACATAGTGAACTCCCCTGTGTTTACATTTTTTTTTTAATAAAAAGAAGAGAATTATTGAAGGCCATTGCAGCCTTTTTGAATTGTCTGGTTATGTCTAGGTGTGTTTTAGTTAAAGGGGAAATAAGTGGAAGAAGGACCTGGAAGTAGATGTTTAATAGTTAACTAGCAAGGCATGTGCTGTTGATAGAAGGCAAATTCAAGTGAGGTCTATTACTTACTCAGAAATCAACTCTGTGAGATGAAACAGACTTTGAGATTATGGTTGTTAATGGGGACATTCTATGTGGAGTCCTTTTCAGGTGTGTGACAATGCTACCGTGTCTATTTTTCTATGTCTTCAAAAATAGACTTTTTCATTGTAAACTAAGACAAGATCCAGTTAGTCATGTTTTTATGTTTCTTCTAAAGAAATACACAGTTCTTATCTTTTGGGCTTGACTTGACTGTTTGAGCCTCCATGTACATTGTAAGTGACATCGCATTCAGCAATGATTAAGCTGGTGGGAGTGCAGCACCGTTGTGGGTATTTTTAGTGTGAGTCACCTGTACTTGATCTTCAGGAACTCAGTCTACTGAGGATTAGATACTGCCGACAGACTTACCCAACATTAGATAGCACTTCCTCTCCTTTCCAATGTGACTTCATGCAAATCTATTTCTAACCTTTTTGACTAATTTTCCATGATCTCAGATTGGGAGATAAATACAATACAGACTAATAAATAAATGTCTTTTTGCCTAAATTATGTCTCGTGTGGGGTTTGCCACATATAGCTGTGAAGAATGGCCTTACTCTCCCATCTTTGCTGTATTGTTTAAACTGTAATAAAGTTTTCCAAGAACAAAATGAGAGTCTTGATTTTCTTTCACACTTGTAATTCCAGTGTGTTTCATAGGTTTTTTTCAGTTAATGAGTTAATTAATCAGTAAATGAGTAAACCTTAATTTCTCACTAGCATAAAGAAAATAAAGGAAAACAGAACTATAAATTAGGAAGTTAACTTCTTGACGTTTGGACAGCAACTTGTGCAAGATAGTCTACTGGAGCAGACTTTTACTTTTTTGTATTATAAATTTTTAATTCTAGTTCTCAGGATCATTTTAATCTTATTTATCTCTGAGGTCTCATTTTTGCAGCCCAGGCTGGCCTTGTGCTCCTACCTCAACCTCTTTTTTAAAATTTATTTTGTATGTGTATGTCTCTGTGTATTTGCATGATGTATGTGTGTGGGAGCTCATGGCTGCACATATGATGTTCAGAGAGGATAGCTTTGTGGAATTGGCTCTGTTCTTCCACCGTTAAGTAGGTTCCAAGGATCAGATTCAGGGTGTCCCGTGTACCTGCTAAGCCATGTCACAGGCCTTGCCCCAGCCTCTTGAGATATGGAACTCCAGGCTTGACCACCAGGCTAGGCTGATCCACAAATGCCCCATCCTGAACATTGGACCCTGGACCTCACACAGGAGAGGCAAAGTCGTCTGCCAGTGTATTTCTAGTGCCTCTTTGTTTTATTTTTATTTTATTTTTGTGACTGAATTACTCAGGCTACCCTGAACTCACTCTATAGCCCAGTTAAGCTTGAACTTTGAGTCTTTTTTCTCAGCCACCCCAGTGTTGGGGATTATAGGAGTTACAGGCCTGTGCTACCAGGTCCAGAAGCTGATTTTTTTTTTTTTAAATCCTACTTTTTATGGTTCATTTGTCTGTTTTGGTTTTTCCAGAGAGGATTTCTCTGTGTAGCCCTGGCTATCCTGGAACTCACTCTGTAGACCAGGCTGGCCTTGAACTCACAGAGATCCACTGCCTTTGTTTCTCAAGTGCTGGGATTAAAGTCATGCACCACCATCACCCAGCTATGGTTTACTTTTAAATTTTGCTTCATTATGATTCAGAGCAGGTTGTATTGTAAAACTATCACACGTTTTGTGTCAGCCAGTAGAAATTACCCAAAATGACAGCCATGTTTTAGAAAATCATTCTCAAGGGACTAGAGAGATACTCAGTGGCTGAGAGCCCTGAGTTCAGTTCCCAGCATCCTCATGGTGCCTCACAACCGTTCATGACTCCAGTTCCAGAGGACCCAGTGCCCTCCTCTGGCCTTCCAAGACACCAGACATGCACAAGGTGCACATAAGGACAAGCAGAGAAAATACTCATATACATAAATAAATCTAAAAAGAATATTTTTAAACCATGCTAGGCTAGCAGATGATTTTTGGGTTGAGGAGATAGCTCGGTGAGTAAAAATTTTGCTATCGAACTGTGAGAGTTACAATTGAGATAACCAACAGCTGTGTGAATACCAGCTGGGCATGGTGGCACGCTTTACATCCCAACCTCAGGTTGGGCATTCCAGACAATCCAGGGCTACATGACTCTTTCACAAATAAGACTAAACCTGAGTACTGTGTTTCAATCAGTGGCCCTACTTGAAGCCTGAAGCCTGGTGTATATGTGGAAGTCAGAGGACAAACTGTAGTAATCAGCTCGTCCAGGGGATTGAACTCAGGCCATTAGGCCTAGAGGCAAGCACCTTTACCCAGTGAGTCACCTCCCCAGCCAGCTGTTGCACTCTGGAACTCGAAGGAGCTGTGATTATCTTTGCAAGACTGCTCCTGTCAGCACTTAGTCATGCAAGGAGAGGGACTCATCCGGCCCCACCACTCCCTTAGGATTTATACCAGTCAGTGGTCGATGGAGAGAGACATTTTCTTTAGTGATGTAGCCACATGTAGGGTGCTTCTTACTATAAACAAACCCTACTGTGACACACACACACACACACACACACACACACACACACACACACGGAGGGTACTAATTGGAAAGAGGAAGGAAATGATCAGGAATGGGAGGGGGACAAGAAAAGATGACGGTGAATATGATCGATACACATATCCATGTATTAAAATTATTATGTATAATTTATTCAACTACAACATTATTTAAAAGGAGAGGTATTAATCCTTTCCCTTTCTTGGTGTCCTGTTAACTCTCACATGCCAACAGATTTCAGAACATTAAAGAGAAAGAAATCAAAAGCCAGACATGATGATGACAAATAACCCTTCCCAGCACTCGGGAAGCAGAGGCAGGAGGATTTCTGTGAGTTTAAGGCCAATCTGGCCTACAGAGTTTAGGACAACCAGGGGTACACAGAAAAACTCTGTCTCAAAAAGCAGAGAGAGAGAGGGAGGGAAGGAGGGAGAGGGGGAGAGAGAGGAGAGAGAGAGAGAATGAATTCAGGGGAAAAACAGAAGAATATGCCTGTCATCTCAGCACTTGAGAGCTAGGACAGATGGCAAGTGCCAGAGATCAGTCTGATCTAAGTAGCAAGATTGTCTGAGAAAAACGTAAATAAACTGTACTGTGATGTCATCTGTTAGCAATAAAATGAAAGAGTTGATCACTGAAATGAAGAGAATAGATTCTGAGGGAAGAGCCAAGGGAGTGAAGGGGGAGTGTGGCATAGGGAGAGGCAGAGATTTAGAATCTGTTCAAAGCAGACAAATTGTAGTCTGGGAAACAAGTGGAGGAAGCCAATGTCTTCAACCAGTGAAAAAAAGGTGTTTTATCAGGAGATCCCGATTTGACAGTGAGTGAAGAAGGCAGCAGCTGAGAAACGATGGTAGCATTTGGTTCCCAGGAGGCAGCTGTGACTGGTGTCTTTGTTTCTCCCCTTGATGGAACGGATACCAAACTACAAAGGGAAGAGGGTATTGAGTGGCTGTCACTGAAGCTGGTAACACTCGGCCACTTATTCAAAGAAATGAGAGATCCGGGACATTTGAAAGGACAGCAGTGTAGTGTGTTCTGAAAGCTGAGGCTTGTGAATGTGTGAAAAAGACCTAAACAAGGTGACGCCAGCAAACCCTGGGTTGCATCAATTCACCTTTTAGCTAAGACTAACCTGGTTATAAAGCCTTCAACAATGGGCTGGAGAGATGGCTCAGAGGTTAAGAGCACCACCGACTGCTCTTCCAGAGGTCCTGAGTTCAATTCCCAGCAACCATATGGTGGCTCACCATCATCTGTAATGGTGCCCTCTTCTGGTGTGCAGGTATACATGGAAGCAGAATGTTGTATACATAATAAATAAAATCTTTAAAAAAAAAAAGTATTTGTTAAAAAAAAAAAAAGCCTCCAACAAGGATTGAGGAATGTGTGCCTCACCAAGCCCCTGGGTTACAGCTGTGAACCATCTCAAAGAAAACCTGCTCTTGATGCTTATAGCTAGGAAAGGAATCCAGAGCTGAGTGTGTGTTTGCCTCTGTAGCATTATGCCCTGTTGCATAGCTGGGGGTGGGGCTGGGGGTGGTGGTGCAGAGGTTGAGGATAAAAGATAAAAACAAGAATGGTGCTGCCTTGAATCCCAGCACTGGGGAGACACAGACAGAGGCAGGGTGATTCCTTGAGTCTTTATAGCAAGTTCCAGCCCAGCCAAGGCTGCACAGTGAGACCCTGCATCAGTATATAAATGAACAAACACAAGAGGATAAAATAGCTGAATTAAGTGGAGCTGGGAGCAACATTTGATGCCCTTTCTCTACAAGGATTTCAACTGTTTGGATGTGGTGGTGGAAGTCCGTAATCTCAGTACTTGGGAGTTGAGTCATAACAGTAGCCCCAAGTTTAAGGCCAGCTTGATCTACAAAGTGAGTTCCAGGCCAGCCAGGACTATTCAGGAAGACCCTGTTAGAAAACTGGAAAGATGGCTCAGTGGGTAAAATATTGCAGGGTATCTGTTTACACTGTATGAAGATGTGTCATTGTGATTGGTTTAATAAAAAGCTGAATGGCCAATAGCTAAGCAGGAGAGAATAGGGAGCATTTCTGGGGAGAGAGAGGAACTCTGGGAAGAAGAGAGGTGGAAAGATGCCAGCAAGACATGGAGGGAGTATGATATACAGAATTGAAGAAAGGTAAACAAAGTCACATGCCAGAACATTGATTAATAGAAACAGGTTAATTGGAGTTATAAGAGTTAATTGGGAATAAGCCTAAGCTAAAGGCCAAGCTTTCATAATTAGTAAGTCTCCATGTCCTTTTTTGGGAACTGGCAGTCCCCAAGAGAAAGCCTGACAAAGTCCTATGATAGTAAAGCACTTGCTGTACATGCCTGATGACCTGAGTTTGGATCCCTAGAACCCAAGAAAAAACTGGACACAGGCCGGGCGTTGGTGGCTCACGCCTTTAATCCCAGCACTCAGGAGGCAGAGACAGGTGGATCTCTATGAGTTCGAGGCCAACCTTGTCTACAGAGCGAGTTCCAGGACAACCTCCAAAGCAACACAGAGAAACCCTGTCTCGGAAAAAAACAAAACCAAAGAAAAACAAAAACAAATACAAAACCCACAAAAATCTGGACATAGTAGTGTGAGTATCTGTAATCCCAGAGCCACCCTATAGGGAGAAAAGAAACTGAGGCAGAAGCATTGCCAGAAGCTCAAGGACCAGCTAGTCTGACATAGGCAGCAATAAGAGACCCTGTGTCAAACAAGGTGGAACTCCACCCCTATGACCTAATTTAGCTTTAGTTACCTCTTTTAGGCTCTGGCTCCAAATACAGTAGTTTTGTAGGATCAGATGTGCAGATTTGAATGGGAACACACATTCTTTAACAGACAGGGATAGAAGTCAAAGCCGGAGGAATCTGGAGATTGGTTATTTATGGGAGTAGGTTGAAGCTGGAAGCTGAGGAAATCTAGGCAAGTTGGAAATAAAGATCTCATAGCCAACAAC